TAGTGTAGTGGTTATGAACCAGGCTGCTAATCTCACGGTCAGCAGTTCGAAACTACCAGCTGTTCCGTGGTAGAAAGATGAGGCTTTCTGCTCCCATGAAGATTTTCAGCCTTGGAAGCCCTCTACAGGGTCACTATGAGTCAGAATTGACTCCACAGCACGTAACAACAATAACAATATATATATATATATACATGTCACGTATACATAAGCATATATATATGCACATATATTCATACATATAAAGATGCATCCAAAAAAAATCATGGAAAAATGGCATTAAATATAATGGAAATTTTTCACAAACATCTTGAATTACGCTCATATATTTGTTAAGTTCCTACAGCTTTTTGCCTTGATTTGTGCCCTAAGAAAACTAAACGCTATTTTTGGGGGGACATTTTGTTCTCTTGAAACCAATCAGGAGACTATCACAATGACACACAAGATATAAAGGGGCCCCAAATGAATGCAGTGGTCCTAGAAGTAGAACAGAAGGAAAGCATTCATACAGTTGCTGGGATAAAACCAAGGCTTCATGAGGGAGATAATGAAGTCCAGGGAAATGTCTATGATTTGGGCCTTGGACCACACAGGTACAAGGATTTTTTGCTACAGGTCTATCGCAAGATAATTACAGACATGGAGTATTTTTTTGAAAGGTTTTCTCTTTATCACCCAGTAAGACACAGCGACAAGGAGCTCTGGTAGTGTAGTGGTTACGAATCGGGCTGCTAACCTCAAGGTCAGCAGTTTGAAACTACCAGCTGTTCTGCAGGAGAAAAATGAGGCTTTCTGCTCCCGTAAAGATTTACAGCCTCAGAAACCCTGTGCAGGGTCACTGTGAGTCAGAACTGACTCCACGGTACTTAACAACAAGACACAGCAACTATGTCCATACAGCCTAGTCACAACTGTACACACTGCAGCTCCAATCACTGGACAAGAGCCAATACCAGCTTTTATGCCACTTGATCAACCATAGAGTGCAGCCAACATCTATGAAGCCTACCCTAAACTGAAGTGCATGAATGGTGAATGAGAATGATGTATACATCCTTCCATTCCCTAACTCCACCCACAGGAGACAGTTGGTCAAAGCCTAAGAATAAATCAACATACAATCATCAAATAAATAAAACATGACAACCTCACAATGCCACAGACAACAAACAATTTTAGCTCACATGAAGAGACAAGAGAGGATGGTTTAAACAAATGACCAAGGTGCTAAGTGAGAGAACTTTTCTGAGCAAGAAAAGGTAATGGAACTAACTGGAAAAAAATTCAAAAGTTTGACATTTAGATACCTTCAAAGGATTGACAGAAAGATTAAGGAAACATCCTAATTTTGTCTTCATATTTGAGGTACAGCTTTGCAGGGTCTATAACTCTTGATAGCAGACAGCAACCTGAGATTACCATATATGAAAACAATACCCACAACTCAACCAGATATAGAAGTATTTAAAGTAAAACAAACCTGTTGTTGTTAGGTGCCATCAAGGAGAACACAGAAAAACTTTAGAAGAATTCGGGAAAACACTACAAGACAAACAGACAAAATAAGTGCAAAATTTAAAAACAATATCAAAACAGCAATTACAAATCCAGAAGATTAATTCTAAGATTTTAGAAACGGACATTACATTGAAAGGGCAAAGGAGTAGATTCAAAGCAATGGAAGCCTGAATTAGTGAGCTTAAAGATAAATCTCTCAATACTAGTATGTTAGAAGAACAATCAGAGAAAAAAGAATGAAAAAAATCCAAAGGAAGCCTGAAAGTTACTGATCTCAAAGTTACGTGGGACACCATGAAGAGGAAACACTTATCGGTGATCAGAATTCAGAACAGGAAGAGACAATAGAAAGTACAGAGAAAATTGTTGAAAAGTTATTGGGAAAAAACTTCCTAAACATCCTGAGAGATGAAAAGATAAGCATACAAAAACCTGAATGAACCCCAAATAGGACTAAGCTCTGATTTCTCAGGAGAAACCATGCAGACAAGAAGACAATGGGATGATAAAAAAGTGCTGTCTGCTATTGTTGGCAAGAAAGTCAAGTCGATTTCAAGATATGTTTTAAAGAGGGAAAAAAATGATAAATTATAAGGCAACCTCAAAGAAAATTAATAACCTGCCCAAGATTTTTAAAGAAAGAGAGAAAAATCAGAAAGCTTTAATAAACTTTAACACAACAGAATGAATATGAAAAAGAAAGCCCACAAACAAAATGAACCCAGTGCAGAAAGAGTAGAATGGATGAAGAAAACAGGATCCTTCAGTTTGCAATCTACAGGATGCACATAAAAAAGATTGAGACAGCCTAAATGTTCATCAACAGAAGAATGGTTCAACAAATGTTGGTACAAACACACAACTAAATACAATGTAACTAGTGAAGAATGATGAATCTGCATAGCATGGGGGAACCTGGAGGACATTATGCTGAGTAAAATTTGCCAATCACAATAGACAAATATTGTTGAGACTGATGTTGTAAAAAAAAAAATTTAAGAAAAGGTTTTTTTATGGTTACAGTGGGTTTGGGGAAGGAAAAATTATTTATAGGCTAGAGGATAGATATATGTTAACAAGTGTGAAAAGGAAGGCAACATACAACAAGAAGAAAGTGGCAGAGGAAAGATGAAGGTAGCAGGAGACACAGGGCAGAATGCAATAGAGAAAGTGAATAGAGGTAAATACTGTTAACTGATGGTACATGGAGGGGATTGCAATCACTGTAATGAAGCGAAATACATGATTTACTGAAGGTATAACTAATGATCTGCTCTGTAAACCTTCACTCAATTCACAATAAAAAATTACCAAAAAAAGAATGGTGATCAATCACTAACCAAGAAAGGTAAAAAAGGAAGAATGACATGTTTTAGGGGGACGATTATGAATTCACTTTGGCGCATCTTAAATATGAGATGTCTGTAACATGTGCAGTTATGATACCCAATGCACTGCGGTACATAGGAGTATTTCTGTAGATCTCAGAAGACAAGTCAGGCTGGAAATGTGGCTTTAGGGATCACTGGAATGCAGGGTAATGAAATCGTGGCAGTAAATAAAGTCTTCCAGAGAGAGCACATAGAGAGAACCAAACAAAGAAATGATTGCTAAAAAAAGAGGAAGAGGAGAGCTCAGGAAGGAAGGAGGGGAGCCATAGACATAGGGTGTCTTATAAATCAAGAAAGGTATAAATGATAAAATTTCAAGTCAGATAAGGACTAACAAGTTATTGGGACTTGGGAAATCACTGGTAGCTTTAGAATGCATCACTTTAGCAAATGATTGAGGCAAAGTCACATTTTGGTAAGCATGTGTCGATTGGGGAACCTACTTCCAATAATGCAATAGTATTCTAAAGATTTGAATAAATAGGACCAGGAAGTTGTCCAGCTGACTCATTTTGTCATTTCAGTTCCTGATGTGTGACGCGAAAAGGTCCCTGGGGGGTGCAAGTGGTTTGCAATTACACCCACCCATTGGCTCCATGGAAGAATGCCCTGGTGAATTATTTCCATAAAGATTACAGCCAAGAAAATCCTGTGAAGCAGTCTACACTAAACAACATGGGGTTGCCATGAGTCAGAATTGACTGGATGGAAATGGGTTTTAGTATGATGGTTGTTCTTGTTCAGCACTGTCGAGTCAGTTCCAACCCATAGCGATCCTATATAGGGTTTCCAAGGAGCAGCTGGTTAGCTTGAACTGCCAACCTTTTATTCAAACCGAATTTGCAGTCCAGCGCATTAACCCACAGCGCCACACCAGGACTCCCTAGTATGGTTGTAACAGATGTTTTCTCTCCTTCTAGACTGACCAAATTAAACAGTTCTGGTGTGGCACAGTGGGTTAACATGCTGGACTGAAAGTTGTTTTTGAACAGCAATGTCAGTTGTTCAAGTTCCAAACTCTATACAGGGTTGTACTATGGGTACTTTCTCTGGTTTTAAGAATAATTGTGTTTAGAATTAAAGAAAACAAAAAAAAGGCCTTCTCCTTTTATGAAGTCTTCTTAGGGTGAAGGGAGTAAAATAAACTTCATGATTGAAAACTTCATCTTTTATTACTTCAACTGCTTATCTTTCCTTCTGGTTTTTAATCAGATTTTAGTCTAGAGTTCTATACAAAAGAGAATCTAAATGAAAACTTGTTGAATGAATGAATGTACAAAGCCAACAGAAACGTTTATCACCCTCACATTGCAAATATGTGTCAGTTAGTCTTTGAAAACAAGACAAGCTGAGAATAATTAGGAGATTAGTATATACCAAAAGGGCACAGGCTTAATACTAGACCACCTTACATGAAGTTCTATAATATTCATTGGCTTTTGACGTGGCTATTCCAGACCAGGTCTCATGATACTCGTCAAATGAAACAGCTTGAACTGATCTGGAAATATAAATTAAAATCAGACAATGAGTAGTTTGCAAATTCATTTAAAAAAATATTTTTTTTTCAGAGTGGGCTGTTCAGAGAACAGTATCTTAACACAAAACATAAGACTTGTAAATTTTGTAGTGTACCCAACATATTCATTTCATCACAAGAAAACCAGTCAGAAGAAGACCATCTATAGAAATCACTTTTTAATAGTAAAGGTAAATGTGTATCCAAATATATATTAAGAAAAGAAAAATATAGGTCTGAAAGTATCTGTCTCTCATGACTCCCATTAAAGAAGAACTTTAGGAAGAAAAGTATTATATCTGTATGTGCTCTCATTCTACAATAGAAGAAGCCTTAAACATTTATTTCAAATTTTAGGAAAATCACCTTTTTATCATAAGGAGAGAACAAAACACCAGAATTGAGATTGGTTTAATTTTGCAAAGAACATGGCCACTTCCAAAGGTGGGAAGAAACACCACCTTTCTAATACACAGTTTCACATGTAATGTACCAGTGTAAATATGCATATGTAAATTTCATAGGAAACTAGTGCAAAGGGGTTCCTTGCTTAGAAAAGCATATTATTGTGTACCTTAATTGCTTTGGTGGTGGTGGTCGTGTACCACTCGGCCAGTTCCAACTCATAAGGACCATTTAAAAGGGTTTTTGAGGCTGTAAATCACGCACACAGAAAGCTTCATTGGGAACAGAAAGCCTCTTTTTCCCATGGAGTGATTGGTAATTGGAACTTACTGACCTTGTAGTTTAGCAGCCCAGCTCATTATCCATTATGCTACCAGGACTCCTACAACTGCTTCAAAATATGGTATTTCTACTACGCTTTCCCTTTCCTGCTCTATTACTATGTTGTAATTGTTATTAAGTGCCCTGTATAGGGTTTCCAAGGAGCGAATAGTGAGTTTGAACTGCTGACTTTGCAGTTCAAACTGACTCTATGGTGCAGCGCATTAACCCACAGTGCCACACTAGGACTCCATAATCGGAGTCCTGTATAGGATAGGATGGCAAAAATTGTTTAAAATATTAAATAGGAACTAAAAAGGAGCCAAATAACTGCCTTCCCAACATGTTTTTTCCATTGTTGTTGTTGGTGATTGTGCATTTGAGTCAGTTCCAATCCATAGCAACCCTGTGCCCAGTAGAGTAAAACAACACCCGGTCCTGCACCGTCCTCACAATCGTTGCTATACTTGGGCCCATTGCTGCTGTCACTGTGCCAATCCTTGTCATTGGGGGGTCTCCCTCTTTTTCTCTGACACCCCACTTTACCAAGCATGATATTCTTCTCCAGGGACTGATCCCCGTTGTCAACATGTCCAAAGTATGAGAGATGGAGTTTGGTCATCTTGGCTTCCACGAAGTATTCTGGTTGTAATTCTTCCAACACAGATTTTGGATGTCCTTCTGGCAGTCCATGGTACCTTTAAAATTCTTCTCCAACAACATAACTCAAAGGCATCAATTCTTTTGCAGTCTTCCTTGTTCATTGTCCAACTTTTCACACGCACATGAGGCTATTGTTTCCATACAAACCAAACAAGTTTTATTGTGGTAGCGTACATATAACATGAAGTTTTCCATTTTAATCATCCTTAAGTATACAACTGAGAAGCATTGTTGACATTCACAATATTATATGACTATCACCACTACCTAAGGAGCTCTAGTAGTGTAGTGGTTATGATTCGGGCTGCAAGCCTTAATGTCAGCAGTTTGAAACTAACAGTTGTTCCGCAGGAGAAAGAAGAGGCTTTCTGCTCCTATAAAGATTTATAGCCTCGGAAACCCTGTACAGGGTCGCTATGGGTCAGAATCGACTCCACGGCCCACCACCACCACCACTACTTACACCTCTAGCTTTTGATTACCCCAAACAGAAACTCTGTGGCTACACCTTTTTATTTCTTTTTAGTACAGAGCGTCTCAACACTCTATAAGCAAAACATCACTTCAGGATATTTTTCAGACTTGTGAACTAAGCAATTAACTGGCAAAAATAGATGCCTAAATATCATATGTTAAAAGCCTGACGTCCGTTTCCCAGTTTAAATTCACAGTACTTTATAGGAAGAAGCTACATTTCACTTAGAACAAGTGAAGTGGTTTTGAATTTTATAGGTAAATTCTAGGAACCATAAAGTCAATATTTGACTCAATTTTCAAATTCCTGGGGGCAATACCAAAGTGTGTTAATGTATTCATTTATTTAAACCACAATTACTGACATCTAATTTTAAAACTAATATTTTTTCAAATGTGTTATTACTTTTGCAATCACACTTAAGTCGAAATCTGAAACGTGGTGAAGATAAATTAATCATTACTCTTATTGCTCCCAGACCTTTATACTTCTAAATGATATACTAAACTAACATTAATTTGCCAATGAAATGTTTCGACATTTGGCAACAGAGGTAACAAAATGAAAGGCTGCATTATATCTCTTGCAAGAAAAAGCTTGTGATCAATTTGCTGTCACAGATCACTTAGCAGACAACAATGACCCAAGAGGAAGGAAACTGTCAACACACTGTCTAGTGAAAAAAAAATACACCATCTTCAGGCACAATCGTCTCCATTGTTTTTTGTCTGTTTGAGGACGACCCATGACCCTCTCCCTTCCCAAGGGTGTCCTGTTCAATTTCAAACTGTTAGCCTTCAGGGTTGGTTGTTTTCCCCCAGAATAATTAAAAATGTTACCCTAAAAAGTATAATTGTAATATAGTTTGGATAGACAAAGCTGTATGTCTTAAACATTTGTGAATACTTGCATTTCAATTCTATAAAGGAAACAGGTTTTTTTAAAATTAGAAAATAGTAACTACATTTTACTATTATTCAAATAAACTATGAAGCTATAGGGATACATGTAAGTATGAAAAAAATTCATGTGTTTATAGTTTCAACCAGTAATAGGAATTTATTGAGTATTATCATAGGCCTTATGAATATAAAAAAGTAGAAGACATAATTTAAAATTGAACAGAGCTTATCCTATAGGGGAAATAAGATGTATAACTAGACTAGTAAATAGAACAGCTTTAGATACAACATAATAAAGTGCACATGGTTTAGCACAGACATTTGGAGAATACAATTATGGCTATTTCTTTTGCAGTGGTATAAGCACAAAGAAGATGTAGGACAGAGATAGCATAGTCTTTTGGAAAAGAGTCACTTGGGATATGAGACTAGAGCAAAAAAACAGAAGGAACATTCTGGGCCAGAGAGACAGTATTAGCAATAATTTAGATAAGACAGTACATTGTGTGTACATGTGCAGCCATATAGAGGTTGTTGGAGGAAAGAATGATAGTAAGATGACAATTGGCAAATGAAGAATTCCAATTTCAGAAGAGGGGGTGCTTGATAAAGTACGTGAAACCAGGCAATGCACGACCATCAAATTTAGGCAGAGGACAGGTTAGATTTGATTCCATTGACTTGATTCACTAGGTAATAGAGTACCCCCATAAGATCTTGAAAAAAAATAAAACAGATAATTTAAGGAATGTGTATTGGAACAAAAATTAATCTGGCATTAGTACACAATCTGGATAATGTAAGGTAGATTAAATGTGGGGGCGATTGAATCTGAGGGAACAAATGAAGGAGATAAGGAGAGGTAACCCAAGGTGGGAGCAAAGGTTATAAAGGAGAGGAGGTCCATCTAAGAGAAAATGCTCAATAAATGACTAAACAGGCTTCCTAATAGAGTATGAAAAGTGAAGAAAACTGAGGGTCAACATTCTACAACATGGAAGACTTCTTGTTATTAATAGTAAGCATTAAGTGAAATTGAAATAGAAGATGAGTTTGATTTCAGACATGGGTTTTAGGTGATGATAGGATGCTGTTATAAAGTGCCATCAAGTTGGTTCTGACTCACAGCAACCGTATGCACAACAGAATGAAACACTACCTGGTACTCTGCCATCCTCACAATTCAGTGTTACTGCCATTGTGTCAGTTTTTCTGGCGTCTTCCTCTTTTTTGTTGACCCTCTACTCTACCAAGCATGATGTCCTTCTCCAAGGACTGGTTCCTCTTGACATTGTCCGAAGAACAAGTGATGATGTTGCGGCATCCTCTCTTCTAAGTAACATTCACACTGTACTTCTTCCAAGACAAATTATTCTTTTGGCAGTGGAGAGTCAATATTTCTCTCCAAAACCAAATTTAAATGCATCAATTCTTCTATGAGCTTCCTTATTCACTGTCTAACTTTCACATGCATGTGTTGTTGTTGTAGTTTTTAGGTGCCATCGAGTTGGAACCGACTCATAGAGACCCCATGCACAGCAGAACGAAACAATGTCCAATCCTGGGCCAACCTCCATGGCTTGGGTCAGGCACACCTTAGTCCTCAAACTCTTTGCTCTTTAACATTTTAAAGAGGTCTTTAGTAGCAAGTGTGTCTAATACATCTTTTGATTTCTTGACTGCTGCTTCTTCCATGATTATTGATAGCAGACCCAAGCAAAATAAGGTCTTTGACCATTTCAGTCTTTTCTCCATTTATCACATGCTGTTATTTATTTTTCCAGTTGTGATGATTTTCATTTCCTTTACATTGAGGTGCAACCCATATGGAAGGCAGTAGTCTTTGATCTTCATCAGTAACTATTTCAAGTCTTCTTCGCTTCTAGCAAGCAACGTTATCTCATCTATATATCACAGGTAGTTAATGACTTCTTCCAATACTGGTACCTCATTCTTCTTTATGTAGTCTAACTTTTTTAACTATTTGCTCAGCATACCAATTGAATAAGTATGGTGAAAGGATACAACTCTATTATACACCTTCCTCTATTTGAAACCATTCACTATTCCCTAGCTGTTTTTGAGCCCTTGGTTTATGTATAGGTTTGTTATGAGCACAATTAAGTTCTGGAGTATCCATTCTTTTCAATGTTATCTATAGTTTGTTAAGATGCGTACAGTCAAATGTCTTTGCATACTCGATAAAGTACAAACAAATATTTTTCTGG